TGCCTTAAAATTTTCTGTTGCTAGCTTTTTAATGCACAAAATTATCCCATTGTGCATACATATGTCTAGTCTATAGTCTAGTCTATAGTCTAGTATAGTCTAGTCTATAGTCTAGTCTATAGTCTAGTCTATAGTCTAGTCTATAGTCTAGTCTATAGTCTAGTCTATAGTCTAGTCTATAGTCTAGTCTATAGTCTAGTCTATAGTCTAGTCTATAGTCTAGTCTATAGTCTAGTCTATAGTCTAGTCTATAGTCTAGTCTATAGTCTAGTCTATAGTCTAGTCTATAGTCTAGTCTATAGTCTAGTCTATAGTCTAGTCTATAGTCTAGTATATAGTAGTCTATAGTCTAGTCTATAGTCTAGTCTATAGTCTAGTCTATAGTCTAGTCTATAGTCTAGTCTATAGTCTAGTCTATAGTCTAGTCTATAGTCTAGTCTATAGTCTAGTCTATAGTCTAGTCTATAGTCTAGTCTATAGTCTAGTCTATAGTCTAGTCTATAGTCTAGTCTATAGTCTAGTCTATAGTCTAGTCTATAGTCTAGTCTATAGTCTAGTCTATAGTCTAGTCTATAGTCTAGTCTATAGTCTAGTCTATAGTCTAGTCTATAGTCTAGTCTATAGTCTAGTCTATAGTCTAGTCTATAGTCTAGTATAGTCTAGTCTATAGTCTAGTCTATAGTCTAGTCTAGTCTAGTCTATAGTCTAGTCTATAGTCTAGTCTATAGTCTAGTCTATAGTCTAGTCTATAGTCTAGTCTATAGTCTAGTCTATAGTCTAGTCTATAGTCTAGTCTATAGTCTAGTCTATAGTCTAGTCTATAGTCTAGTCTATAGTCTAGTCTATAGTATATCTAGTCTATAGTCTAGTCTATAGTCTAGTCTATAGTCTATAGTCTAGTCTATAGTCTAGTCTATAGTCTAGTCTATAGTCTAGTCTATAGTCTAGTCTATAGTCTAGTCTATAGTCTAGTCTATAGTCTAGTCTATAGTCTAGTCTATAGTCTAGTCTATAGTCTAGTCTATAGTCTAGTCTATAGTCTAGTCTATAGTCTAGTCTATAGTCTAGTCTATAGTCTAGTCTATAGTCTGTCTATAGTCTAGTCTATAGTCTAGTCTATAGTCTAGTCTATAGTCTAGTCTATAGTCTAGTCTATAGTCTAGTCTATAGTCTAGTCTAGTCTAGTCTAGTCTAGTCTATAGTATAGTCTATAGTCTAGTCTATAGTCTAGTCTATAGTCTAGTCTATAGTCTAGTCTATAGTCTAGTCTATAGTCTAGTCTATAGTCCAGTCTATAGTCCAGTCTATAGTCTAGTCTATAGTCTAGTCTATAGTCTAGTCTATAGTCTAGTCTATAGTCCAGTCTATAGTCTAGTCTATAGTCTAGTCTATAGTCTAGTCTATAGTCTAGTCTATAGTCCAGTCTATAGTCTAGTCTATAGTCTAGTCTATAGTCTAGTCTATAGTCTAGTCTATAGTCTAGTCTATAGTCTAGTCTATAGACTAGTCTATAGTCCAGTCTATAGTCTAGTCTATAGTCTAGTCTATAGTCTAGTCTATAGTCTAGTCTATAGTCTAGTCTATGGTCTAGTCTATAGTCTAGTCTATGGTCTAGTCTATAGTCTAGTCTATAGTCTAGTCTATAGTCTAGTCTATAGTCTAGTCTATAGTCTAGTCTATGGTCTAGTCTATAGTCTAGTCTATAGTCTAGTCTATAGTCTAGTCTATAGTCTAGTCTATAGTCTAGTCTATAGTCTAGTCTATAGTCTAGTCTAAGTCTAGTCTATAGTCTAGTCTATAGTCTAGTCTATAGTCTAGTCTATAGTCTAGTCTATAGTCTAGTCTATAGTCTAGTCTATAGTCTAGTCTATAGTCTAGTCTATAGTCTAGTCTATAGTCTAGTCTATAGTCTAGTCTATAGTCTAGTCTATAGTCTAGTCTATAGTCTAGTCTATAGTCTAGTCTATAGTCTAGTCTATAGTCTAGTCTATAGTCTAGTCTATAGTCTAGTCTATAGTCTAGTCTATAGTCTAGTTATAGTCTAGTCTATAGTCTAGTCTATAGTCTAGTCTATAGTCTAGTCTATAGTCTAGTCTATAGTCTAGTCTATAGTCTAGTCTATAGTCTAGTCTATAGTCTAGTCTATAGTCCAGTCTATAGTCCAGTCTATAGTTTAGTCTATAGTCTAGTCTATAGTCTAGTCTATAGTCTAGTCAATAGTCTAGTCTATAGTCCATGCCACCTCTGTATGTACTATATACCTTCAAACATACATAAGTATATGCCTAGCAGTAAAAGTATATATGTAGGTATAATATAATCTAAGAGAGAACAAAAATTATTCATTAATTTACCATGTGATAATATGCCTTCCTCCAGTAAAGCTTGCCACATGCCAGCCGCTTGGGCTCTTGTATGAACAATGGGCGATAAATTCACCAACCAATCTACCAATTCAGTACCAGGAGCACACTTACGTATAAGTTTGCCAGAAACCTAAATACGAAAAAAGTATAAAAAATATAAGCAATATAATGAGCAACATTTTGTGGCAAAAAAAAAGAGAGAGAGAGAAAAAAACATCATCATAAAAAATAACAACATTATTCAAATTGTTAAAATTAATCACAATTTTGTTTCTACTACCAAGTGTTGGCAGTTACTTTTTTCCTTCAAAGTGTTTTAGAAACACACTTACTTTTTTTTACTAACATTCGTTTTGCAAATAAAAGAATAATGTATTCAAAATACACAAACGTTTTATTAATTAAAAGCTTCTTAAATGTTAACAGCTGTCTTTAATTTAACCATATCAAACCATTTACATACATATACACATTCACTTTCACAAACTTTTATATGTATGTATACAAATGAATATAATTTATGTTGCCACCAACTCCCCTGCCAATACTACATACAGCAATTTAACGATTGTTATTAAGCAGTCCGACTGTGGTAAGGATTACAAAAAAAAAAAAAAAAAACAAGGTCGAGAGCTATACTCACTTGTGTTGAATATTAAGATCCCTCAATACAGAATGTTTTGATTCGTTAGTCACACATTATTGTGACGATCAAGACCATAAAAATAGCTTGAATCAAAATATCTTAGTTTGCGCTCTTGTAAAGCGAGGTCGTTCTATCATTCGGTGTTGTACTCAGTGTTCTTCGTCTATAGAACTTATGCGGTTAAGATCGCGAACAATCTGACACGCCTTAAATCGTACAGTGTCCAGTAAATTTGACTATAAGAAGCCTAAGTGAATATTTATCAAGACCTCAAGAGAGGTTCTTTTCAGTGAAACAATGATACGTAGATAAAAACTGAAAGAATAGAAAGATTCGTTCTATGTGTTCCCTTATGTGTTTGCGGATTATTCTCGATATTAACTTTGTGACGGTTAGCAGATCACCACTAGTTACTAGTTCATTTCTAGTTTAGTTCAGTTCTAGTTCTAGTTCAGTTCTAGTTTAGTTCTAGTTCAGTTCTAGTTTAGTATTTAGTTCTAGTTCAGTTCTAGTTTAGTTCTAGTTTAGTCCTAGTTCAGTTCTAGTTCAGTTCTAGTTCAGTTCTAGTTCAGTTCTAGTTCAGTTCTAGTTCAGTTCTAGTTCAGTTCTAGTTCAGTTCTAGTTCTAGTTCAGTTCCAGTTCAGTTCTAGTTCAGTTCTAGTTCAGTTCTAGTTCAGTTTTAGTTTAGTTCTAGTTAAGTTCTAGTTAAGTTCTAGTTCAGTTCTAGTTCTAGTTCAGTTCTAGTTCAGTTCTAGTTCAGTTCTAGTTCAGTTCTAGTTCAGTTCTAGTTCAGTTCTAGTTCAGTTCTAGTTCAGTTCTAGTTCAGTTCTAGTTCAGTTCTAGTTCAGTTCTAGTTCAGTTCTAGTTCAGTTCTAGTTCAGTTCTAGTTCAGTTCTAGTTCAGTTCTAGTTCAGTTCTAGTTCAGTTCTAGTTCAGTTCTAGTTAAGTTCTAGTTCAGTTTAGTAGTTCAGTTCTAGTTCAGTTCTAGTTCAGTTCTAGTTCAGTTCTAGTTCAGTTCTAGTTCAGTTCTAGTTCAGTTCTAGTTCAGTTCTAGTTCAGTTCTAGTTCAGTTCTAGTTCAGTTCTAGTTCAGTTCTAGTTCAGTTCTAGTTCAGTTCTAGTTCAGTTCTAGTTCAGTTCTAGTTCAGTTCTAGTTCAGTTCTAGTTCAGTTCTAGTTCAGTTCTAGTTCAGTTCTAGTTCAGTTCTAGTTCAGTTCTAGTTCAGTTCTAGTTCAGTTCTAGTTCAGTTCTAGTTCAGTTCTAGTTCAGTTCTAGTTCAGTTCTAGTTCAGTTCTAGTTCAGTTCTAGTTCAGTTCTAGTTCAGTTCTAGTTCAGTTCTAGTTCAGTTCTAGTTCAGTTCTAGTTCAGTTCTAGTTCAGTTCTAGTTCAGTTCTAGTTCTAGTTCAGTTCTAGTTCAGTTCTAGTTCAGTTCTAGTTCAGTTCTAGTTCAGTTCTAGTTCAGTTCTAGTCAGTTCTAGTTCAGTTCTAGTTCAGTTCTAGTTCAGTTCTAGTTCAGTTCTAGTTCAGTTCTAGTTCAGTTCTAGTTCAGTTCTAGTTCAGTTCTAGTTCAGTTCTAGTTCAGTTCTAGTTCAGTTCTAGTTCAGTTCTAGTTCAGTTCTAGTTCAATTCTAGTTCAGTTCTAGTTCAGTTCTAGTTCAGTTCTAGTTCAGTTTTAGTTCAGTTCTAGTTCAGTTCTAGTTCGGTTCTAGTTCAGTTCTAGTTCAGTTTTAGTTCAGTTCTAGTTAAGTTTTAGTTCAGTTTTAGTTCAGTTCTAGTTCAGTTCTAGTTCAGTTCTAGTTCAGTTCTAATTCAGTTCTAGTTCAGTTCTAGTTCAGTTCTAGTTCAGTTCTAGTTCAGTTCTAGTTCAGTTCTAGTTCAGTTCTAGTTCAGTTCTAGTTCAGTTCTAGTTCAGTTCTAGTTCAGTTCTAGTTCAGTTCTAGTTCAGTTCTAGTTCAGTTCTAGTTCAGTTCTAGTTCAGTTCTAGTTCAGTTCTAGTTCAGTTCTAGTTCAGTTCTAGTTCAGTTCTAGTTCAGTTCTAGTTCAGTTCTAGTTCAGTTCTAGTTCAGTTCTAGTTCAGTTCTAGTTCAGTTCTAGTTCAGTTCTAGTTCAGTTCTAGTTCAGTTCTAGTTCAGTTCTAGTTCAGTTCTAGTTCAGTTCTAGTTCAGTTCTAGTTCAGTTCTAGTTCAGTTCTAGTTCAATTTTAGTTCAGTATTTAGAGAATAGACGTTTTAGATAATTTTTTTTATTATTTTCCTTAGAAAGTAGTAGTCTGGCGGTTATAAAATGTGAATGGATGAATTGATTTTCTCCTGGGAATGGTACACGTAAAGAAATTGTTGTAGTCTTATATAAAGATAATGTTGCTAACTACCACCTCGAACTGCAGGGCAAGGTTTTGAAGCACACTTTTTGTCTTCATTAGTAGTGTTTAATTGTGATATTTTATCACCACACTTAAAACCAATTATATAATCATTAAATATATTATTGGAGTGTATTTTTTTTTCACCAACAACACTTATTGTCATTCTGTTTACACTTCTCTCTGAAATAGAATGTATAGTTAGGTATCTGTTACTTACTTTTCTATCCTTTAAACAACTTGAACTGTCAGCAACCAATAATGTTCGTAAAGCCCATCCCATACGATTCATAGCAGGACTAGGAGACTGCAGAAAGAAAGAAAATTTAAATGAATGTAAAGTAAACAATTAAATAACTTAAATGAAAATTATATTTTCATAATTATGTTGAATTATGAAAGCAACTTAAAAAGGAGTAGTAGAGTGTAAAAAAGCTAAAGATTGTTTAGCTAAAGGGTGAAAAAACGGGTCATAACATTGGTTAATTGTTGAAAAAAGTGTAGGGATTATTAAATAAGAAGTTATCTTCTAGTGGCACTCAGATTACTTATTTAAATGAAGGAGTAAATTAAGAAACTTCATTAGGAATAGTTAAGTGGTTTTACTTTTCACGAGTAATAACATTTTTGTAATATTAAAGACATTTTTTAGAAAGCACTGACTCTCCATATATTTTAATTAAGAGAAAAAAACAAATATTTATGGAACTAGTTATGAAAACAATAAACTTTAAACTAAACTAGTTCCTTAAGTAAAACAAAACTTTTCCAACTTATGCTTCTATCTATAATGGCTATGACGTACCCCTAAAAAGTGTTAAACAAAATATACTAAATAATATAAACTATTGTTTTAATTACATACAAGTGGCACCTTATTTTATGACTGTCTGTCTACCCCAAAACAACTCATTTAACTTGACCACAATAATAAATAGAAATACAAACGCCACAAACGTGTTGTCAGCAGCATTTTTTCCTAACCATTTCTAAGGCGAAAAAAAGCTAAATTTACAACAAAAAGTTGACAGACAAAAAACCATAATAAATGTCATTTCAACTTTACCAGACAACAATAAAAAAGGCCAAATGAAATGAAACATAAAGATAAATGTGAAAAAAATAAAATATTTATAATTTTACCTCTGTTATTGGTAGTGCCGGATTTGGATGATCAGGACTTAATGGTCGTTTTGTGGGTGATGAATTTGTTTGTTGTTGTTGTTGAACAGCAGGACCAAAACCTTGGTAGAAGAAAAAAGAGAAAATATTTATGTAAAAAATAAGTTCATAAAAAGGATTTAAATGTATATGAATGTATAAATATGAAGTACATGTAAAAATTCCAAAATTACATACTTAAATATACACTGAGACAAAAGCCAGACTATTCATAAACAAGACTTGTTAATATGTAGACTATTCTAAAGAGTAGACTATAGTCCATAAAGTAGTCTATAACTGAACTAGAACTGAACTAGAACTGAACTAGAACTGAACTAGAACTGAACTAGAACTGAACTAGAACTGAACTAGAACTGAACTAGAACTGAACTAGAACTGAACTAGAACTGAACTAGAACTGAACTAGAACTGAACTAGAACTGAACTAGAACCAAACTAGAACTGAACTAGAACCAAACTAGAACTGAACTAGAACTGAACTAGAACTGAACTAGAACTGAACTAGAACTGAACTAGAACTGAACTAGAACTGAACTAGAACTGAACTAGAACTGAACTAGAACTGAACTAGAACTGAACTAGAACTGAACTAGAACTGAACTAGAACTGAACTAGAACTGAACTGAACTAGAACTGTAACTGAACTAGAACTGAACTAGAACTGAACTAGAACTGAACTAGAACTGAACTAGAACTGAACTAGAACTGAACTAGACTGAACTAGAACTGAACTAGAACTGAACTAGAACTGAACTAGAACTGAACTAGAACTGAACTAGAACTGAACTAGAACTGAACTAGAACTGAACTAGAACTGAACTAGAACTGAACTAGAACTGAACTAGAACTGAACTAGAACTGAACTAGAACTGAACTAGAACTGAACTAGAACTGAACTAGAACTGAACTAGAACTGAACTAGAACTGAACTAGAACTGAACTAGAACTGACTAGAACTGAACTAGAACTGAACTAGAACTGAACTAGAACTGAACTAGAACTGAACTAGAACTGAACTAGAACTGAACTAGAATTGAACTAGAACTGAACTAGAACTGAACTAGAACTGAACTAGAACTGAACTAGAACTGAACTAGAACTGAACTAGAACTGAACTAGAACTGAACTAGAACTGAACTAGAACTAGAACTGAACTAGAACTGAAACTAGAACTGAACTAGAACTGAACTAGAACTGAACTGAAAGAACTGAACTAGAACTGAACTAGAACTGAACTAGAACTGAACTAGAACTGAACTAGAACTGAACTAGAACTGAACTAGAACTTGAAATAGAACTGAAACTAGAACTGAACTAGAACTGAACTAGAACTGAAACTAGAACTGAACTAGAACTGAACTAGAACTGAACTAGAACTGAACTAGAACTGAACTAGAACTGAATTAGAACTGAACTAGAACTGAATTAGAATTAAACCAGAACTGTACTAGTACATGGATTATTTTACGTTTGATAGTCAATACAATCCATGGTCGAGTCGATGGTCAAAGTCTTCTCATCGAAAGGACTGGTTAGTAGACTAGTCCAATTTTTCATTAAAATTTAATTGTTACATGAGATGAATTCTCATTAAAAAATACATTTTCGTAATTGAATCAAAAAAATTTAAAAAAAAAAATTTTGAACTATAATTTCTTTGTTTATTTCATTTGAAAACTGTGTATTCCGTAAAATATTTATTTTTCATCTGTTTACTTTTTGCCCCAAAGTTTCTGCTAATTCTATTAATTCTTACCAAAACTTTATTTTTTCAAACTTTACAAATATTTTTTTACATGATTATCAGTATTTACTTATTTGTTTGACGTTTGCTGGAGTTTATTTAGTTGCCGCAACCCCCAATTTCAATGTAAAATGTAAATGAACCTTTATCTCTTGAAACCCAAACAAATAAAACAAACAAACTCATAAAAACCGCAGTCGAATTTAAAAACAAAACCAAACTAATCTTGACCTTGAATTGAAAATGAATTAATTTTTAAAACAAACTAGTCATTAGGAACACATACCCCTCCACCCTGTTACAATACTAAACATTCTTTCTTGTTAAATACCTTAAATTAAAACAAATGCAAGATTTAAAGTTTTCAAACTTTTAGCAGCGCGAAAGTGACATTTAGTAGATTAATTAATTAAACTTTGCGGTTTATTAAGAAATACCTACAACTACAGCTAAGCAAATATATAATTTACTTATTTCAGAATTTAATTTAATTAAAATTTATAAAAACATTGCTAATAGCCATACATTTAAGCTATTTGTATTGGAAATAGTGCAGAGAATATTTACGCGTTGTTGTTATTAGTGAAGAGTATAAATAACAACAGAAATAAATAATTGAATAATAAATCCAATTTCAATTTATCATTATTAATAATTAAATTACGCATAAACTATATAATACGGCATCAACATAAATGAATGTAGAAATGGAAAATTTAATTTAATGTTTAATTGCAAAAAATGTAAAGTATTGGAGAGAAATTTGTATAATTATATTTATGTATCATTTTAAAGAAAATTTGATTATTAGTACAATTTTTCAGGCTTGTAAGTAATTCATTACATCGAACAATAACCAATTACAACCACTTGTAATTGAAGTATTTCTAATTACAGTTACTTGTAATGTGTAATTGAACAATAAGCAATTACTTGTAGTTCTAGTTCAGTTCTAGATCAGTTCTAATTCAGTTCTAGTTCAGTTCTAGTTCAGTTCTAGTTCAGTTCTAGTTCAGTTCTAGTTCAGTTCTAGTTCAGTTCTAGTTCAGTTCTAGTTCAGTTCTAGTTCAGTTCTAGTTCAGTTCTAGTTCAGTTCTAGTTCAGTTCTAGTTCAGTTCTAGTTCAGTTCTAGTTCAGTTCTAGTTCAGTTCTAGTTCAGTTCTAGTTCAGTTCTAGTTCAGTTCTAGTTCAGTTCTAGTTCAGTTCTAGTTCAGTTCTAGTTCAGTTCTAGTTCAGTTCTAGTTCAGTTCTAGTTCAGTTCTAGTTCAGTTCTAGTTCAGTTCTATTTCAGTTCTAGATCAGTTCTAGATCAGTTCTAATTCAGTTCTAGTTCAGTTTTAGTTCAGTTTTAGTTCAGTTCTAGTTCAGTTCTAGTTCGGTTCTAGTTCAGTTCTAGTTCAGTTCTAGTTCTAGTTCAGTAGTTCTAGTTCAGTCTAGTTCAGTTCTAGTTCCGTTCTAGTTCAGTTCTAGTTCAGTTCTAGTTCAGTTCTAGTTCAGTGCAGTTTAGTTCAGTTCTAGTCAGTCTAGTGTTCAGTTCTAGTTCAGTTCTAGTTCGTTTCTAGTTTTCTAGTTCTTAGTTCAGTTCTAGTTCAGTTCTAGTTTCAGTTCTAGTTCAGTTCTAGTTCAGTTCTAGTTCAGTTCTAGTTCGTTCTAGTTCAGTTCTAGTTCATTTCTAGTTCAGTTCTAGTTCAGTTCTAGTTCAGTTCTAGTTCAGTTCTAGTTCAGTGTCTAGTTCAGTTCTAGTTCAGTTTCTAGTTCAGTTCTAGTTCAGTTCTAGTTCAGTTCTAGTTCAGTTCTAGTTCAGTTTCTAGTTCAGTTCTAGTTCAGTTCTAGTTCAGTTCTAGTTCAGTTCTAGTTCAGTTCTAGTTCATTCTAGTTCAGTTCTAGTTCAGTTCTAGTTTCAGTTCAGCAGTTCAGTTCTAGTTCAGTTCTAGTTCAGTTCTAGTTCAGTTCTAGTTCAGTTCTAGTTCAGTTTCTAGTTATGTCTCGTTCAGTTCTAGTTCAGTTCTAGTTCAGTTCTTAGTTCAGTTCTAGTTCAGTTCTAGTTCAGTTCTAGTTCAGTTCTAGTTCAGTTCTAGTTCAGTTCTAGTTCAGTTCTAGTTCAGTTCTAGTTCAGTTTCTAGTTCAGTTTCTAGTTCAGTTCTAGTTCAGTTCTAGTTCAGTTCTAGTTCAGTTCTAGTTCAGTTCTAGTTCAGTTCTAGTTCAGTTCTGGTACAAGTTCTAGATTCAGAACAGTAAGAGTAACTGATGCCACGACTTCAATAAAATGCTTTAAAGGCCGACAAAACACTATTACAATTTCAAACATTCACATAGATGAAACATAATTGGGAAAGGCGGCATGTTCTAACAAGCATTTCTAATCTAAATTATATATATCATTCAAGAAAAAACTTTAATTGTTTAAAGTGCAAAAATGAACTAAAAATTAAACTAAATTTCAGTTTTAAGTTAAACATATAATTTTAGTGTATTTTTTTTTTTTTTTTTGTAAAAATTACTTACCATTTTTCAATTTACAACTGGTGATAATATCATTCATTAATTCCTTGTTTTTCTACAGAAAAAAAAAAGATAAACAAGAAATAAACAAATACATTAGTTAATTTTAAAAACAAAAACTAATTAAAATTGCTTCAAGACACGCCAACTAAAACAAAATAATTTGTTAAACAAAATAAACTTTTAAAACAACAACTTCTAAAGAAAATTGCAAAAAAAAAAAAGAAAAGTAAACTAAGAAGTACAAAAAAAAGCTTCATACATGATCTCCTGGTTCGAAACATGAGATGGGTCGTATCAGTCTTCTTCTATGTCTGCTATAAAAGTCTGTTTGTTGTTGTTGTTGCTGCTGCTGTGGGGGTTTCTGAATGTGGCCATTACCGCGACCACAACAAACATCTAAAGCAACCTTATTACCGTTATTACGAATATACGGCGGTAAATGGTTGTTATTTTTAGTTAAACCGGAAGTATTGGTTACAGTTTGAATTTCAAATGTTTGATTTTCATTAATATTTTTATTATTTTCATTATTAATATTTGTATTAATAATATTATTTGTATTTTTATTGTTATTATTAGTTTTTGTACTTGAATGGCCACCACCATTTGAGGCTGCCAACACTACACTGTCAATATACATGTTGTTTATGTTGTTGTTATTGTCGCTATTATTATAATTATTATTATTAGTTTTACTATGATAATGAGTGAGGGTGGAATAGGTTTTGGGAGGTATATGACTAATTTTGTCATTAACGTCAGATCATCTTGTGAATGACGTCGGGTTTGATATTTCAATAGAACACAAACATCATCGTAGGGCGAAGCTACTATGTGTTGGGACCAACGTTTCTGTGTGTTACTGGAATTTTTATTTCTTATACAGGAGGTACTTGTGGCCATGGCGTTATTTCGGTTTTTTTTTGTTTCTTATTTACTTTAGTATTAAAATGTTTTCACGCTTATGATTAATACGTTTATTGCACCATTTCTTATTTTTTAGGGTTTTGTTGTTATTTATTTTGTGTTTTTTTTGGCACTGCACGTTTGTATTTAATTTATTTATATTCACTTCTTTTATTTATATTTATTTTTTTATTAAATATTCGCACTCCCTCTCCATTTGCAAGACAAAAGACTGAAAAAAACCTCTTTGTATAACAGCTGTTTCCATGCTACTACCGCTTTTTTGTATTGCAAAGAATTGAACGAGTGTCGGACTGCCTGCTCTTCACGAAAAACAAAACATTGTATATGCGTTACAGTCGCTGAAATTTATTTAGGGGCGTAACAACGGAAAGTAATTTCTCTCTTATTGAGAAGAAGATATTTGACAACCTTTTTTTTCAATAACTACTGCTTACAGTTCCCATTACTTAGAAGCAGTTTAATAATGAGTTATATGTGATGCTTGAAAACTGCTCGATTCTATATGAACCGGAGGAGGCTGAGATGTAATAACTAACTAACTAACTAACTAACTAACTAACTAACTAACTAACTAACTAACTAACTAACTAACTACTAACTAACTAACTAACTAACTAACGAACTAACTAACTAACTAACTAACTAACTAACTACTAACTAACTACTAACTAACTAACTAACTAACTAACTAACTAACTAACTAACTAACTAACTAACTAACTAACTAACTAACTAACTACTAACTAACTAACTAACTAACAACTACTAACTAACTAACTACTAACTAACTAACTAACTAACTAACTACTAACTAACTAACTAACTAACTACTACTAACTAACTACTAACTAACTACTAACTAACTAACTAACTACTAACTAACTAACTAACTAACTAACTAACTAACTAACTACTAACTAACTAACTACTAACTAACTAACTAACCTAACTAACTAACTACTAACTAACTAACTAACTAACTAACTACTAACTAACTAACTAACTAACTAACTAACCTAACTAACTAACTAACTAACTAACTAACTAACTAACTAACTAACTAACTAACTAACTAACTAACTAACTAACTAACTAACTAACTACTAACTAACTAACTAACTACTAACTAACTACTAACTAACTAACTAACTAACTAACTAACTAACTAACTAACTAACTAACTAACTAACTAACTAACTAACTAACTAACTAACTAACTAACTAACTAACTAACTACTAACTAACTAACTACTAACTAACTAACTAACTAACTAACTAACTAACTAACTAACTAACTAACTAACTAACTAACTAACTACTAACTAACTAACTAACTAACTAACTAACTAACTAACTACTAACTAACTAACTAACTAACTAACTACTAACTAACTACTAACTAACTAACTAACTAACTAACTAACTAACTAACTAACTACTAACTAACTAACTAACTAACTAACTAACTAACTACTAACTAACTAACTAACTAACTAACTAACTAACTAACTAACTAACTACTAACTAACTAACTAACTAACTAACTAACTAACTAACTAACTAACTAACTAACTACTAACTAACTAACTACTAACTAACTAACTAACTACTAACTAACTAACTAACTAACTAACTAACTAACTACTAACTAACTAACTAACTAACTAACTAACTAACTACTAACTAACTAACTAACTAACTAACTAACTAACTAACTAACTAACTAACTACTAACTAACTAACTAACTAACTAACTAACTAACTAACTAACAACTAACTAACTAACTAATAACTAACTAACTACTAACTAACTAACTACTAACTAACTAACTAACTAACTAACTAACTAACTAACTAACTAACTAACTAACTAACTAACTAACTAACTAACTAACTAACTAACTACTTCTACTCAAAAAACCGAATTTTTTAGTGAAAATTAGATTTTTGTGGAAGTCCCACTTTTTCGTGAATATACAAATTTTTAGTGAAAATTAAAAATTTTGGTAAAAATCCAAATTTTTCGTGAAAATCCAAATTTTATATGAAAATCCACATTTTCAGTGGAAATTTGAATTTTTAGTGAAAATTCAAATTTTCGTTGGAAATTAAAATTTTAAGGGAAAATCCAAATTTTTTGGAAATTGGAATTTTTAGCATAAATTTCTTAGATTTGATTTTTGTGGAAATCCCACTTTTTCGTGAATATACAAATTTTTAGTGAAAATTAAAAATTTTGGTAAAAATCCAAATTTTTCGTGAAAATCCAAATTTTTAGTGGAAATCCATATTTTATATGAAAATCCACATTTTCAGTGGAAATTTGAATTTTTAGTGAAAATTCAAATTTTCGTTGGAAATTAAAATTTTAAGGGAAAATCCAAATTTTTTGGAAATTGGAATTTTTAGCATAAATTTCTTTGTTTTGTTAAAAACTAATTCGATTTCAAGGCTAAATATTAAGTACTGACATATAAAGCTATATATAAGATGTTACTAAACCTCTTCTAAGTAATGCAGACGGTGTATAGTAGACATTGAAAAGTAAGTTGTGCGGTAAATATAAGTCATTATCATATGTTTGCTAAGACAGTTTCCAAAAGCTCGCCCTTAATTAAATACCCCATAGTGCTAACTGTTTGTAAAATCGTGTTTATCAACAACAAATAAAACAAAAACACACAATAATATTTAAACATTATTAATGAATATGAGCAGAAAAAACAAAACTCAGCTCAATTGTGTGCTCACTGCTACGTTCTCCATAACTGTGAGTAGTTTAAATAACTTAAACAATATACAAATAAATTTAACAGTCTTAATTAGTTGAAAACTACAAAAATTCTTTCATACCGAAAAAACATCTACTTTTAAGATTCATTTTGTACACTCATTAGTTCCCCAAAATTACTCACGCTCTTACTCAATTGTATTTGTTTTTTCCTTTCTTTAATTTTAATGTTTAAATGCTCAAACATAAGTGTTTTATAAAACAGTAATAAATACTGATAATACGGACTGGACTGACTGACTCTGTTATGAGTTGTTTTGTATTTAGTGTAACGTATTAGTAGTACGATAAAGTACTTAAACTTTTGATTTGGATTTTTGTATGCAGACTTGTTTTCCGGAGAAACCATTTGTTGATGTTTAGAGGTTGCTTGCTTACTTTCATTTCAATAAAGCGTGCAATATCTGTATTCAATGTTGTGTTTTTTTTGGTTTTGGTTCGGAGTGAGCGGACCTTATCAGCAACAAATAGTTTTTTTGTATGTATGTATCGTTTGTAGTTTATTTTAGAAATTGTAATAATGCGACAAAATTGGAAACAAGTAAGAGCGTTATAGTCGGCAGTGGCGATTATATATAGCCGTCAAGAAAAATGTAACGTGAGCGTGAAATTTGATTCAAAACTTTTACACGTTCAAAGTTTTTGGGTTCCTTAGTTCCCATATACAATTTTTGGCGATGGACGGACGGATATTTTTATGCTCGACCTATTTGGCCCATTTGGACGATTATTACCAGATCGTCTTAAAAATTAAGTTCTTAAGTGAATCTGCGACCACTATTTTGATGTGTTACAAACGATATGATAAAACTAATATATCTATCACCTGTTTTAGTGGAAGCTATAAAAATAGAAACGCTATCAGTAGAAAAGTAAATTAGTGGGGTTTCTACTAAAGATCTGCAGTAAGTGCGGAGTTTTATTTTGTTTAAAAATTCAAATAACCTTAAAAAGAATGTCTGTCAAAAAGTAATAAATAATAAAAAAATATTCAGGTAGAATTTCTTTAATAAGCTGAGAGTAATATTTACTAAATAAATTTACTAAATAAATACTTAATTAAATATTGCAAAATTTTATCTCATTTTTATCTTATTCATAACATGTAAAAGGTAGTAGCGCTATAAAGGGAAACTTAATGCGGACTTTAAACGAAAAAAAATCGTGATAATCATTTGTTAATGCATAAACAGCAAGTACATCAGTGGCTAGTAATCAATTTAAAAATACAACTTACATATAATTAAATGTTGAATTTTTTTATTATTTGTTTATTAATAAGTATGTACTTATAATTTCATTTTATGTTAAAAGTATAAAAACCAGTCTTTGTTAACTGGTTTTTAATTAAAAATTGCAAACATAATAATGAAAACATACGATTGTCATTGTCAATGCAGAAGATAATCTTTTAACGAATATTGCATATTAACACGTCGACGTAAAATACGTCTCCAAATGTCCAGTGTGGAATTATATTAAATGAGATAAAGACTAGACTAGTCTATAGTCTAGTTTATAGTCTAGTGTATAGTCTAGTTTATAGTCTAGTCTAATGTGTAATGAAGTTTAGACTAGTCTATAGTCTAGTCTATAGTCTAGTCTATTGTCTAGTCTATAGTCTAGTCTATAGTCTAGTCTATAGCCTAGTCTATAGTCTAGTCTATAGTCTAGTCTATAGTCTAGTCTATTGTCTAGTCTATAGTCTAGTCTATAGTCTAGTCTATAGTCTAGTCTATAGTCTAGTCTATAGTCTAGTCTATAGTCTAGTCTATAGTCTAGTCTATAGTCTAGTCTATAGTCTAGTCTATAGTCTAGTCTATAGTCTAGTCTATAGTCTAGTCTATAGTCTAGTCTATAGTCTAGTCTATAGTCTAGTCTATAGTCTAGTCTATAGTCTAGTCTATAGTCTAGTCTATAGTCTAGTCTATAGTCTAGTCTATAGTCTAGTCTATAGTCTAGTCTATAGTCTAGTCTATAGTCTAGTCTATAGTCTAGTCTATAGTCTAGTCTATAGTCTAGTCTATAGTCTAGTCTATAGTCTAGTCTATAGTCTAGTCTATAGTCTAGTCTATAGTCTAGTCTATAGTCTAGTCTATAGTCTAGTCTATAGTCTAGTCTATAGTCTAGTCTATAGTCTAGTCCATAGTCTAGTCTATAGTCTAGTCTATAGTCTAGTCTATAGTCTAGTCTATAGTCTAGTCTATAGTCTAGTCTATAGTCTAGTCTATAGTCTAGTCTATAGTCTAGTCTATAGTCTAGTCTATAGTCTAGTCTATAGTCTAGTCTATAGTCTAGTCTATAGTCTAGTCTATAGTCTAGTCTATAGTCTAGTCTATAGTCTAGTCTATAGTCTAGTCTATAGTCTAGTCCATAGTCTAGTCTATAGTCTAGTCTATAGTCTAGTCTATAGTCTAGTCTATAGTCTAGTCTATAGTCTAGTCTATAGTCTAGTCTATAGTCTAGTCTATAGTTTAGTCTATAGTCTAGTCTATAGTCTAGTCTATAGTCTAGTCTATAGTCTAGTCTATAGTCTAGTCCATAGTCTAGTCTATAGTCTAGTCTATAGTCTAGTCTATAGTCTAGTCTATAGTCTAGTCTATAGTCTAGTCTATAGTCTAGTCTATAGTCTAGTCTATAGTCTAGTCTATAGTCTAGTCTATAGTCTAGTCTATAGTCTAGTCTATAGTCTAGTCTATAGTCTAGTCTATAGTCTAGTCTATAGTCTAGTCTATAGTCTAGTCTATAGTCTAGTCTATAGTCTAGTCCATAGTCTAGTCTATAGTCTAGTCTATAGTCTAGTCTATAGTCTAGTCTATAGTCTAGTCTATAGTCTAGTCTATAGTCTAGTCTATAGTTTAGTCTATAGTCTAGTCTATAGTTTAGTCTATAGTCTAGTCTATAGTCTAGTCTATAGTCTAGTCTATAGTCTAGTCTATAGTCTAGTCTATAGTCTAGTCTATAGTCTAGTCTATAGTCTAGTCTATAGTCTAGTCTATAGTAGTCTATAGTCTAGTCTATAGTCTAGTCTATAGTCTAGTCTATAGTCTAGTCTATAGTCTAGTCTATAGTCTAGTCTATAGTCTAGTCTATAGTCTAGTCTATAGTCTAGTCTATAGTCTAGTCTATAGTCTAGTCTATAGTCTAGTCTATAGTCTAGTCTATAGTCTAGTCTATAGTCTAGTCTATAGTCTAGTCTATAGTCTAGTCTATAGTCTAGTCTATAGTCTAGTCTATAGTCTAGTCTATAGTCTAGTCTATAGTCTAGTCTATAGTCTAGTCTATAGTCTAGTCTATAGTCTAGTCTATAGTCTAGTCTATAGTCTAGTCTATAGTCTAGTCTATAGTCTAGTCTATAGTCTAGTCTATAGTCTAGTCTATAGTCTAGTCTATAGTCTAGTCTATAGTCTAGTCTATAGTCTAGTCTATAGTCTAGTCTATAGTCTAGTCTATAGTCTAGTCTATAGTCTAGTCTATAGTCTAGTCTATAGTCTAGTCTATAGTCTAGTCTATAGTCTAGTCTATAGTCTAGTCTATAGTCTAGTCTATAGTCTAGTCTATAGTCTAGTCTATAGTCTAGTCTATAGTCTAGTCTATAGTCTAGTCTATAGTCTAGTCTATAGTCTAGTCTATAGTCTAGTCTATAGTCTAGTCTATAGTCTAGTCTATAGTCTAGTCTATAGTCTAGTCTATAGTCTAGTCTATAGTCTAGTCTATAGTCTAGTCTATAGTCTAGTCTATAGTCTAGTCTATAGTCTAGTCTATAGTCTAGTCTATAGTGTCGTCTATAGTGTCGTCTATAGTGTATTTTGTAGTTTAGTTTATAGTCTGGTCTCGAGTCTAGTCTTTAGTGTAGTCTATAATATGAATTCTACTAGACATTCCTATTATCAGTTCCATATAGAATAAAAGCTTGGGCCCCAGGGATTGAAAAACAAAATTCTGATTGAATCTGTTTTAGATGTAGTTTACAAAAATGCATATAAATTGTAAATCTCCAAAAAGCTTCAAACTCTGATTTATAATACCAACATAACATTAACCCTTGTCAAAAACTAACCAACGATAATATGAAATGACAACAGATCCATCCGCATACTCCTTTAAAAAATTTCAACTCACCATACAGCCTTGAGGACAATGTGTTTCAAAATTGCAATTATAATGATTTTTAGGGGCCTGAAAAGATAAATGTCACTTGATAAACAATTTCAATAAAACAGTTTTGTGTCACTTAGCCAACGGGTTAATAATGCAGGTTTGTAGTAAGTAGTTGACCGACCACATACGCATCAATGATTGAATAAATATAAACATGCTTGTTATGCTGAACACCTTCAGTTACAAGGAGGGCGGGACACAATTTGTTATTGAGTGGTAACGGGCAGTGGAAAGGGGGAAGCGTAAAAAATGTTAATATCGAGAAGAAGAAAAAAACATGACCACACATGATTGACAGTTTGTATGAAATTATCTGTGGCGCCATTAACACACATTTAGTAGTATTAAGGGCATAAAGGGGGGAAAAATAGTTATACAGAAATCATTACGTTAAGATTTAAAAAATGTGATAAATAATTGTGTAATTATATTAAGGAATTTAATTGCTGATGGTTTTTTCTTGAGGCAAACAGATTCCTTTAAGGATTTTTTCATATGCTATGGAGTAAGGGTTGGCTGAGTTTATTAAAGAAATACAAATTTCCGTAGTTAATATGCAATAAATAAGTGTTTTTAATAACTATAAGGGTTGGTTAACGGTAGGTTATAGGCAAGTTAACTTGTAAGGCACATATATCCTGTATCATCCTTTTCTACATTATTTTTCTGCAATTTTTATTGACTAATTTTCATAAGTATTTACTCTATTTTTACGAACATTTCTTTCTTCCATAAACTTTTACATTTCAGCAACAAGTTTGGAATATTAAATATTACATTCATATATCCTATCATAAATAATAGATGATTACAAAATATTTAATTATATATAATGTAAACCCGTAAAATTTATTACAATAAATATTACTACATATTACGTACGATAGAAGCAGTAAACTCAAAAAATTCCTGTATGTAAGTGGTTTATAGGCAAGACAAAAACAATTTAATAGTCAGGACTATAAATTAATAGAAAATATATAGTTTGGATTGATCTGGAGTCAAGATATTAGACATATCTATATTCTATAGTATACATAGAATGGTCTGTAGCCAACTGTATAGACAAGACTATAGACTATTCTACAGTCAAGACCACAGACTGATATATAATCAAAGTTACATACTGATCTATAGTCAAGACTATATAGTCGAGAATATAGACTGATCTATGGTCAAGACTATAGAGAGATATGAAGTAGGACTATAGATTAATCGATAGTCAAGACTGATGTATAGTCGAGACTATAAACTGATCTATAGTCAAGACTATAGACTGATCTATAGGCAAGACTATAGACTGATCTATAGGCAAGACTATAGACTGATCTATAGTCAAACTATAGACTGATCTATAGTCAAGACTATAGACTGATCTATAGTCAAGACTATAGACTGATCTATAGTCAAGACTATAGACTGATCTACAGTCAAGACTATAGACTGATCTACAGTCAAGACTATAGACTGATCTATAGTCAAGACTATAGACTGATCTATAGTCAAGACTACAGACTGATCTAGTCAAGACTATAGGCTGATCTATAGTCAAGACTATAGACTGATCTATAGTCAAAACTATAGACTGATCTATAGTCCAAAACTATAGACTGATATATAGTAAGGCTATGGACTGATCTATAGTCAAGACTATAGACTGATCTATAGTCAAAACTATAGACTGATCTATAGCCAAGACTTTAGACTGATCTATAGTCAAGACTATAGACTGAACTATAGTCAAGACTATAGACTGATCTATAGTCAAGACTATAGACTGATCTATAGGTAAGACTATAGACCGATCTATATTCAAGACTATAGACTGATCTATAGTCAAAACTATATACAGATCCATATTCAAAACTATAGACTGATCTATGGTCAAGACTATAGACTGATCTATAGGCAAGACTATAGACTGATCTATAGTCAAAACTATAGACTGATCTATAGTCAAGACTATAGACTGATCTATAGTCAAGACTATAGACTGATCTATAGTCAAGACTATAGACTGATCTATAGTCAAGACTATAGACTGATCTACAGTCAAGACTATAGACTGATCTACGAGTCAAGACTATAGACCGATCTATATTCAAGACTATAGACTGATCTATAGTCAAAACTATATACAGATCCATATTCAAAAACTATAGACTGATCTATAGGCAAAACTATTGACCGATCTATAGGCAAAACTATAGACTGATCTATAGTTAAGACTATAGACTGATCTAAACTCAAGACTATAGACTGATCTATAGTCAAGACTATAGATTGATCTATAGTCAAGATTACAGACTGATCTATAGTCAAGACTACAGACTGATCTATAGTCAAGACTATAGACTGATCTATAGTTAAGCCTATAGACGATAATCTGATCTGTAGATAATCTGATCTGTAGTCAAGACTGTTTTTTGGTCAAAACTCAGAGATAATTCGCCGATTTATGTATATGTCGTAACCAGATTTTCTCTCTGTTTAACAAGAATTTTCCTAAGTAAGGAATTATTTATTGATTTTTTGTCTCGAGTGTAGACAATAATGAATAATTAAATATTAGTAGTGTATAGCAATTTGGGCTTTAATAAATATAAACACATATTGTTTGTTGACCTAGAGATATATAAATTTTACTATTGGAAAGACCCCAGCAGTTTTAAGTGATTGATTCGAGTTTAATATAGTTATACTTGTTGTAATGCAGAGAAGAAGTTAGTTAGTTGTTACTTTCGTATCTCCAAGTAATCTACAGAGTAACACTTAAAGTGTATTTACTCCTACGAACAGAGTCTTTAAAAGGAATTATTTGTCTACAATCCGGGACAAGCACCCCTAACTGTGTGGTTTTACAAAGGATATTTACTTCCTTTGTATGTGTACGTATATGTGCAGGAATTCTCTCAGGTGTAAATAACCACTTCCTATGGAAAACAGCAGCGGCAACAACAGCAACAAAATAATATATTGACCAAATTGGAAAATAGTGATGGAAAAAGAACTAAAATAACTAAAAACCAACAAGTGGAAGTATAAAACTTTATAAATAAATTAAATATTAAATATTCTGTCAAATAAATAAGGAAACCATAGGGATGTAAGGGAAAATTCATGACATTAAGAAGAAATTGGTGAAAAGTATAAAAGTAAAAAAGGGTGAATGAAATTAAGCATAAACTTTCAACTTTGCTACACCTGCCATGACAATTTAACAAATAATGTTGCCTTAATAATATTTAAAATACTTCTAACAAAGTTTGGAGTTTAAAAAATCAAATTTTAAAAACAAGACTTTACATATGGCTACTTTCAAGAAGAAAAACTTTTTCTCACAACAACAATTGAGTTTAAAACTCCTACAAAAGAAAAATTGAACTTTAACCGGCTAAAAATTTTTATTTCGAAGAATTCATATAAAATTGTGTTTTTAAGCAAAAAGTAAAATGTTTTTTTCTTCTCTTTACAAATTTCTTAGAAATATGTATGAAATGCCAAACATGTTAATGCTTGAGTATTCACATTTCTTTTAAAATTATATTTTCTCTTTTCTTTCCTTACGTTTAGTTGTTAAGAAAAGTAAAATTATGCTTTTTTTGTTTTCTTATAAAAACTGAAATGAAAAGTTTGTTATTTCTTAACAAAGTTGTATTGTAATAGTAACTATTACATACAAAAGAATAACGAAAACACTACTTCGACATGCTAGCACAATGGGATTTTAATAAAATGATAAATTTATTTACTTTTTTGAAGTTCTAGGAAATACCGCAAACGTATGTGTAACAAAAATGGTTTACACTTAAATAATATTACGTATACGCCAGCATCATGCTGTTAAAGCAGCACACACATCCTTTAGAATTTTGCGTAAAATGACTTAACGTTATTTTTGCTTTTCAGGGGAATAAAAAGTGTTTATTCGTTTTAAAGCATTTAATTAAAGAAGTTTTTTTTTTAACATTTTATTTGGAAAAGCTGTTTAAAGCTTTCGATTTAAAATGCTTTGTAAAAGAATTTATTTATAAAAAATTTTTGAAAGCTATTGATATAAGAGCCTTTTAAACTTTTTATTTATAAAAGCTTTCTTAAAGCTTTACATTTGTATAAACTTTTCCAAGTGTTTGTTTTATAAAATCTTTGAAAATTTATTTTTAAAGCTTTGTCAACGATTGTTAAAGCTTTTGAATTATAAAAGCTTTTTATATAAAAGTTTTTAAAGCTTTTGATTTACAAAAGTTTTTTAATTCTTTTGTTTTATAAGAGCTTGCTAAAGCTTTTGATTAATAAAAGTTTTTTTTTACAGCTTTAAATTTGTATAAGCTTTTGATTTATAAAATCTTTGAAAATTTTTTTTAAAGCTTCTGATTTTGAAGATTTTGACTTATAAAAGTTTTTTAAGCATTTTTATTTATAAAAGCTGTCTAAAGCATTTGATTAATTAATTTTTTTTTGAAGATTTTGATTTATAATACTCTTGGGTTATAAGAGCTTTCTAAAGCTTTTGATTTATAAAAGTTTTTTAAAGCTTTAAATTTGATTTATAAATCATTGAAAAATTATTTTTAAAGCTTCTGATTTAATGCATTTGGCATATAAAAGCCTTTTTAAAGCAGAAGATTTTGATTTATAAAAGCTTTTTCAAGCTTTAAATTTTTAAGCTTTTCATTTATAAAATCTCTGAAAAAAATTTATGAGCGATTTTTAAGCTTTTGTCTTGTAAAAGATTTTTAATTAAAGTTTTTTTTTGAAGCTTTTATATTTATAAAAGCTTTTTAATTCTCTTGATTTATAAGAGATTTGATTTTTAAAGCTTTTGACTTATAAAAACTTTTTTAAAACATTTTGTTTATAAAAGCTGTCTAAAATTTCTGATTAATAAAAGTTTTTTGAAGCTTTTTAATTTATTAAGGCTTTCTAAAGCTTTTGATTTAAAAGCTTTTTTATGAAAGCTTCAGCAGCTTTTATTAAATTCAAAAATATATTTTTATTTAAAAAAGAACTTTAGATTGCAAGCTTACTTGAAATTTTGATTTATACATAAAAGTATCTTAAAGCTTAAAACTTAAAAAAGCTTTGTTTTACAAAACAATTTTATGAAATATTACACTTTTACAAAAGATTGCTTAAAGCTGAAAAAGTTTTTATTTTTAAAAGGCTTTTATAGATGCTGTTGTTTTATTAAAGCTTCAATATGAGCTTTTTTATTTAAAATGTTTATTATTTATAAATCATGATGATTTTATTTTAAAAACTTTTTGAAAATTTAAATTCTTTAAGTTATTATTTGAATTTTTACTTTTAAAGCTTTTGTTAGCAAAAAAAAAACTAGTTTTGCTTTTGATTGCAAGAAAACGTTTTTAGCTCTGGACTGCAAAAAGCTTTTTAGCTTAGAATTACGAAAGCTTTATGTTTGGGTTGCAAAATCTTTTTAGGCTTTTGGTTATAAAAGTTTTTTTTAAGCTTTGGTTATAAAAGCTTTTTTAAGCTTTTGGTTATAAAAGCTTTTTTGAAGCTTTTGGTTATAAAAGCTTTTTTAAGCTTTTGGTTATAAAAGCTTTTGATTATAAAAGCTTTTTTGAAGCTTTTGGTTATAAAAGCTTTTTTGAAGCTTTTGGTTATAAAAGCTTTTTAAGCTTTTGGTTATAAAAGCGTTTTTGAAGCTTTTGGTTATAAAAGCTTTGTTGAAGCTTTTGGTTATAAAGCTTTTTAAGCTTTTGACTACAAAATATTTCATAAGCTTTTGATTATGAAGGTTTTAGGCTTTTTTATAATAGGTTTTAAGCGTTTGGTTTCAAAAGCTTTTTAAAACTTTTGGTCACAAATGTCTTGTTGGCTGTTGGTTGTAAAAGCTTTTTTAATTTAAGATACTCAAGGACTTCCTAAAGTCTTTTGTGTGAGAAAACATCCTTTTTAGCAAAAAAGTGTTATTAATATTAGCACTATCTCGACATTTCATCAAAACAAGAAAATTGAATCTAACTACAAAACAAAATTGTAACTTTAAGATATAAACTAAAAAGATGTCAAATATAAACGAATGTAAAAAATGCGATAAGTAATAAAGAATCTGTGACATAGAGAATAAAAGCATAAAAAATATTTTGCCTAATTAACTTTTATCTTGACAATGTTGCGAAAATACTTCTCAACCCCAATATACTAAGAACTTTATCTGCTAAAAACAAAAGGTAACAGCAACAACAACAACGACAAACAAAACAAACTTAAATACCTACATTTTCATTAAAATTGTGATAAAACTGAATGAAGTGGAGAAATACAAGTTGACAATAATAAAAATAACGTAGACATTAAGAAAAGCTTGTGGGTGTCAAATGGGATCGAGAAAGAGAGTTAGATATGGCAGGAGTACATTAAACGGATATAAAAATTAACTGTTAGAAGTGTATAAATGTATGTGTAGGTGTACGTGCGTGTGTTAGTGAAAGCTTAAAATAATTTTCATTAACATGTTTTAGAATTCAACAACAACAACAAGAAGAAGAGCTTGAATAAAAGGTGTATGGTATGTAGGTATGTGTTGAGTAGTTTGATTATATCGTTCGTTATATTAAAACACAAGTCAGTAAAGTAACTGTTTGTCTACTGTTGATGATTTCTTTCTTACCTCCCAAATTAAGCGAAAATCCTGTTGTTCCACACGTAACAGCTCACAGGTTGTCTTTGTTACCACAGTACTATCACGTGGCAAATCGTGTAATATTGATTCCCCAAAAGTTGCTCCAACACCCAAATTACACAAAGTTACTGGTGACTGTAATGAAAAGAGATACAAAGATACAAAACAACATTATTAAGCACGTTTATTTTGTTTATATTTTTCTCACAGATAACAAACAAGTTAAAGCAACACAGCCAAAGGAGCTTTCTTTCTCTCTCGAAAAAAAAAGAAATGTTTCATCATTTTCAAAAAGGACTCTCCTCCTGCTGTTAGATATACAACTTTGTTGGAACGTGTTTATTTTTATGTTTCATACATATAACAACCACAAAGTATATGTTTTATTTTTATATTTATTTGTTTTTTGTTGTTATCTAGTCTAAAACAAAAACTGTTCTCCATTTGTATGGTACTTGCAAACATACAAAGCCAATGATCCTAATAGACGTTTATCGACGAACAGAAACAAAAAAATAAAACAAAACTCTGTAAAATTTTTGGCAGGAGTATAATTATCGTAAATACACTTTTTTCAGGTTAAATAAACAAGTGTACTCATACATATTAATGACCTTGTTCTTTTGTTTTTGTGTTAACACAAACTTTTCGGAATTTTGTTGCTAAATGTAAACGAAAAATCTTTAAGTGTGTTTTAGAAACTTTTAAGAGATTAGAGTAAGTTACAACATTTACACGGATAATTAAAGGTATAAAACATGTTGTAGATTTTAAGATAGATATTTTTTTATATTTTTTGGGGGTATACATTTTACTTTGAAGGTTAAATAATGTTGTTTAAAAGAAATTTAATGAAAAGCTTTAGAAGTACTCTTTACCTTTAAAAAAGCTTTTTTAAATTGTCCATTAAATAGGCCATGGCAGTAACAAAAAAATTACTGGAGAAACAAGTTTGAAAAAAAGCTTTTTAAATCATAAATTAATATAATTTAATTAATAAAATCCTTTAATTTTTAAAAGCTTTAAATTTTTTATAAAAGTTTTGAATTTTTAAAATCTTCTTAATACTTAAAGAAGCCTATTTAATAAAGCTTTTTCTTATTAAAAAACCTATCGTCATTACGACTTTTGTTTTAAAAACGCTTTTGATGAAGTTTTCGTTTTAAAAGCTTTTATTAAAAAAAAAAATTAAATTTTCTTTACACTTTGAAGATCTTTTTAAATATTTCTTAAGAGCTTTTTAATTATAAATATTTTTAAATTTTGTTTCTATGATTTTTTTTAATTTTTCTTAAGAGCTTTTTAATGCTTTTGTTTTAAAAGAGCTTTTATTGAGAATTTAGTTTTTTTAATATTTAAATCTCTCATTTTTAATATATTTCTTTAAATTTTTCTCAAGAAAGCTTTTTTAAGTTTTTATTTTGTTTTAAAAAAGCTTTTGTTTTGAAAAAACTTTTATTAAAAATTTACTTTTTCTTAAATATTTAAATCATTAATTTTCAAGATTTTTAAGTTATCTTAAGGAGTTTTTTTTTAATTTTATGAAGGTTTTGTTTCAAAAGAGCTTTTACTGAAAATTCAACTTTAAAAAATATATTTGTTATCAAATTTTTTTTAAATTTCTTTAGAACTTTTTTAAAGTTTTTGTTAAGTTTTAAAAAGATTTTGTTTTAGAGCTTTTAGTGAAAATTCTGCTTTTAAAAACTTAAAGCTTTAATTTTCAAGATTTTTTAAATTTTCTTAGAGCTTTAAAATCCATTTATTTGTAAAAGTCATCCAGAAGGATTTTATGCAAACAACTTTTTAAAGCATTTCTTTTTAAATGCTTTTTAAAGCTTTTCTCGAAAGCTTTTTTAAAAGCTTTTTAAAAGCTTTTTTTAAAAGATTTTTAAAAGTTTGTTATTGCTGCGAAGCCTTTTTAGGCTTTTTATTTATAACAATCTTTGAAAGCACTTAAATTTTAAAGCTCTTTTTTTGAACTTTTGATTTTTAACAGATTTTTAAAACTTTGAAATTTGTAACGCTTTTAAAAGCTTTAAATTTCTAAAATATTATTTAAATAAAATCATTATTTACGTCTTTTTGGCAAGCTCCTTGTATTTAAGAACCTTTTTAGGATTATTATTTTGAAAAGCTTTTTTGAAAAAGCTTTAATTTTGAAGCTTTTGTTTAAAACGCCCTTTTATTGATGCTTATGTTCTCAAAAGGCTTTTATTGAAGATTTTATATAAACTTTTATATTTAAAAAAGCCTATATTGAAACTTATATTTTGAAAAAGCTTTTATTGAAGCTTTGATTTTAAAAAAGCTTTTTTTGAAGCCAATATTTTAGAAATGTTTTTATTGAAGTCTTTGTTTTCGAAATGATTTTATTGAAGCTTCTGTGCTGAAAAAGCATTTATTGAAGCTTTTATTATAAAAAGCTTATATTAGAGCTTCTAGCTGCCTTTCTATGGCTTTTATTGATGATTTATTAAAAAAAAGCTTTTTTGAAGATATTATTAAAAAACTTATATTTTGAAAAAGCTTTTATTGAAGCTTTGATTTTAAAAAAGCTTTTTTGAAGCTAATATTTTAGAAAGGTTTTTATTGAAGTCTTTGTTTTCGAAATGATTTTATTGAAGCTTTTGTGCTGAAAAAAGCATTTATTAAAAAGCATATTTATGATTTATTTAAAAAAAGATTTTTTGAAGATATTACGACTTCTATTTTCAAATAGCTTTCATTAAAAATATTATTTTAGAAAAGCTTTTATTCAAATTCATTTTTAAAAATATTTTTTGTGGAGCTTTTATTTAAAAAATGATTTATTTTAACAGTTTTTAGAAGCTTTTGCAAAAAAATCTCTTATTGAGGTTTTTCTAAAAAAACTTTTATTGAAGCTTTTGCCAAAAAAGCTCTTATTGAAGCTTTTGTTAAAAATGCTCTAATTAACGTTTTTGATTGAAATTTTTATTGTAGTTTTTAAAGCATGTTTGTATATTATAAAAGCTTTAATAGAAGCTTTAGTGTTAGAAAAGTTTTAGTAGATTTTATTTATATTAAAAAAATATTTTATTTGCAAAATCCAATTGATATAAAAGTCTGCAGTAAAATCAAGAATATATGTATGTATTTTGTTCTATTCAATTCTACTATTTTTATCTATTTAATTTGCTCTTCAATTTTTCTACTTTATATCTATTTTATCTCTTCAAAAAAAGTATTAATTTGCTTAATGAATAAATAGTAAAATAAAAGAAAATATTTTTATTGCAAAGACCATAGTTATTTTTTGTAGGAACTGGTCAGGTGGGTGTTTTTAGCAAGTGCTTTGAATTATTAAATAAATATTGATTTTTAATTTCAACCTTAAGTATCCAAAATATTGCATTACAAAACGAGTATTTTGTGGGATGCATGTGGTTGCTAGATTAAAAATAAATAATAAATATTTTATTTTATAAATTAATGGACCAAAGATAGAAAATCAATAAAAATATGCAATTTATAGTAATTACATTACGCTTCGTTGGCTAAAATAATTGAAAATCTTAAATAAATATTGGCAAATTTATATTATCTGTAAAGCCTAAAAGTATGCCGTATAATTTAGCATACTTTTTAAATGAAAATAGCTTCATTCAATTAACAACTTGAGGAATATTCGCGATAAAATGTATGTGTAATATTGTCTTTGTTTTCTTTTCTTATGCAGCTTCTCTTTCATTTGACCTAAGCTTTTATCTTCTTTAATAATTTTCCCTTTTTAATAACTTCCTTTACAAAGATTTCCTGTTCTGCTATTGACCTGTACCTGTTATGCTATAATAGGTCTGGAATTTACTACCTTATAAAATACAATTTTAAACTAAATTAATGTTTGACATAATAACGAGTTTTTTTATAATAAAAATTTCTAATAAACATTATCATTACTAGTATTTACAAACATAACATTGCAAGTTATTACATTTAATGCAAAATTGTTAAAATAAATATATAAAAAAGAAGTGAAAAAATATGTTTAAAACCCATAAAAAAAGATCTTAAAAAAAGTATTTACGTTCAACATGAGGAAACCAGAAAGATGAAAAAAAAAGTAATAAACCACAACTACAAATTTTTGGACAGAAACTGACAAAAAAAGCGAAACAACAGATTGGTTGCCAGTACATTTGTTACGTTATGCATAGAGCATGAATAGTAAGGGGATTCACAAAGGAAGGCAAACAAATCGCTATAGTTTAGACGAGACTTACACTAAACTAGAGTCGAGACAATAGACATAGCCGAATAGAAATAGCCGAAACTAAAGACTTAATTATAATCAAGAATAGAGACTAAACTATAATGGAGACTATAGACTAAACTATAGTCCAGTTTGGTCCATACTCTTGACTTTAGTTAGTCTATAGTGTCGACTATAGTTTAGTCTATAGTCTCGACTATAGTTTAGTGTTTAGTCTCGACTAAAGTTGAGTCTGTAGTTTCAACTATAGTTTAGTCTATAGTCTCGACTATAGTTTAGTATATAGTCTCTACTATAGTTTAGTCCATAGTCTCGCCTATAGTTTGGTCCAAAGCTATAGTTTAGTTTTTAATCTCGACTATAGTTTAGTCGGTAGTCTACACTATAGTTTAGTCTATAATCTCCGCTATAGTTCAGTCTGTAGTCTCTACTAAAGTTTAGTCTATAGTTTGGTCTATAGTTCCGACTTCAGTTTGATCTATAGTCAGTACTATAATCTGGATTATTATCTTTCAATTCTTAACCCTCCTCTGAATACTCCTAATATGGTCATTCGGTTTTCTTTTAACAGTATGACTAATACTTCTTTTTGTATTGTCAGTTTGTTGCTTATTTTTCCTTATTGCTACAATGTTGGTCATTTATTTTGAGTTAGAGTTTATGTTTATTTTTTTATTTTTACAACTTCTTTTTGTTGTTGTTGTTGGTTCAACTCTATTCGGTCATAAACCAAAACTGACATAAAAATAAAAACAAATTTAAAAATGAATTTTTTGTTTTATTACACTTTTTTTTTGTTCTTTTGAAACTCAGTTGTACTCGAATTCCTCTGGTGACTATGGTATCCGAAAAATGAAATTTAATGATTTTTTTCAACACTTTTTTCCTTTTGTTATTATTGTTG